GACTCCTCTATAAAACTGTGGATTCCTGTTGGTTAAAGTTTACTTTTAGACCAAGTCGTCCAATAGATGTTCACCAGCAAGCCCTTCTCTCCCCACCCTCTAACCTGGCTTCTTAGGCACGTGCCGGTGTTCCCCTTAACGGTGCAATACATAAATCTGTCAGAATGACTTCTGTTTCCGCTCATTGTAGCACAAGCAGGGTTTACCCAAGCACAGACGGCACACGGAGAAACCTGAAAACCCGAGTTGCAACATATCCATTGCACTCCAACAGGTTTGCCATCTTTAGCCAACCATGTGTTTGACGTTCAGCAGCAAGAGCGCACGTTTCTGAAGGCATACTCAACGACTCAAAGCCACTCTGCGCATGTGTCGGCTGCTTCTAACTCAGGTGATAGTAGCTGCGTTTCCATTGACTATGTAAAGTCGTGCAAATTGGAATTGAGAAAATAAATGAGTTGATAGAAATCACAGAAATTAAAAAAAAAGAAGTTTTTTGATAAAAATTTTTTGCACTAGGATGAGATTGTTCAAAGTCCATTGCCTGAAAAAAATAACAAGAGTTCACTCCCTGACTGCCAATTCAGTCCCAAACACTCTGTGAGGAATATTCCCAGCAATCATAAGTGAGACATCAGTTCCAGTTTCACTGAACTCCATTTTATTTTTCATTTGTATGTTCTGAGCCATTGTTTTGTATTAATGTTTAGCAATTATGAATTTCAGCCAATTTTTTCCAAACGATTCTCTGGGATTTTATCTTTTTTTTGGTACATTATTTTATGTATTTTCATTTATATATTTATTATATATATTTTACTGTGTACTTACATGTTATTTTTGGTTTATTGGCCTCAGTTTACATGAAAAAGTGATTAGATATTTGCCATATATTTTAGATTTTCTGCTCCTGTTCAAGCTGCAGTAAAACATCCAGTGGATTTCCATTTATTGAATTGTACAGTTCATCAGCTAAGGTTGGGGGCCGGTGGGCGGGACTGGTCACAAATATTGTGGGAGTGACAGAGACAAACAGCAGGAGCGCGGAGTCGTGGTTAGAAATTCAGCGGGAGTGGGATTAAAGAAATTTGTTCCACACCGAGAGCAGGTTCACCATCCAGCAGCAAAATGATGTGTCAGATAAAAGCTGAATGTAAAAAAACAACAACAAAAAAAAAAAAAAACACGCTACACTTCTGGGATTTTCATTCTTTAAAAAAAAATGTTGAAAACCATATATCATCTTTCCTCCTCTTCATAAAGATGTGCTTCTTTGTGTGAGTCTCACGTAAAAATCTCAACTGAATGTCAGCGGCTGTAACGGGACCCAAATGGGAGAAGGCAGTATGGATGGTGAAACTGTAACACACACAGGTTCAGTCATCTCGCTGTTGTGGTGTAGAAAATTTTAAACAGCATAAAATCAGTTATGATTCATCTTCAGATGTCAGAAATGAGTTGGTAAAAAAATTATGCGGCAATGTTTGTGAATTCCTTGGAAATGTGTGTTTAAATCTATTGACCATGCTTTCACACAGCCCATTCACTTATGGACTTCCCAGAAACTGAATTGTAATAATAATAAGAGGTGACCAAGTTTGACTTTTCTTCCTTTTTCTCACAGATTAGCCTGATCCTGCCTTCACTAATTGTTCTTCAGTGAAAAAAAAATGTGTTTTTATCCCGACGCCTTGCTTTGACTAATCTTTACGCGTTGCACTGTTGGTAATGCATTCTGTGGCTGAAGAGCTGTAAAGTGACGATGTTTCAATTTCTAATCAATAACAATAATTTAACAACTATTTCACGATGGTTGCTTTTATTAATAATGTAGGAGGCCAGTGGCTTTGTCGGCCTGCTAGGTTTACAGGACCGTAAACGTTCGTGTGATCAAATAAATGTCTCTTTAAAATTAAATCTGCACGGCCCTGCATCGTCTTCTTCTTCTTCCTCTTCTTCTTCTTCCTCTTCTTCTTCTTCTTCTTCTTCTTCTTCTCATCAGTGGAGTGAGTTTCTTTGCGGTTGAAGTTAAAGTTTTGACATTTTACAAGAATGCGGCTGCCGGCTACGATGTATGAGAAAGCGATGATGGAGAGGCAAAACATAAAAAAATAAATAAATAAAAAAAGGGTTAACATAAGTGTATTCCCATTTTAACGTCTCAACAAAAAGTGTTTACTATGTAACTGCACAATTCAGTGTGTGCCATCTGTTGTGTCATCCCACACCGTCTTTGGCCGACGCTTTTCACTGAAGGTGAGAATCTTCTCAAGCCCTTCCACACACACACATGCACGCGCACACGCACACTCACACACGCATACATACATGCAGACATTAAAATTCACCCACACAAACTAGTTGCTGCAGAGCTCCAGGAAGGTTTTCTGGGTAAGGGAAGGAGGATATAACTTTAGCACCATGCTGAGATCCATCTGCTGCGGAGCCGTCCCCCAGGGGCCTGACACCGCGGATGCTGCTGTGTCCCAGTTATCGCTGCTATCTGGGAGCCAAGCACTGGTGGAGTTCAGATGGCTCACAGCAAAAGAGGAAAAGCGGTTGCAGGGCCGGCGTGCAAAAAGTATTCACGTTCTTTGAACTTTTTTTTCTTCCTTTTGACATGTAAGCACAACAAACTTCATTGTATGTCATTTGGGTTGCATAAAACCCAAATGATATAAAGTGGGAATTAGAGCAGGACAACAAGCCAATAATAATAATATAAACATGTGATCAAAATCAATAGATAAAATGTCTGATAGAAAATTCAACACATAGAATATCCACTGAACTCCGATCCAGAACTGCACAGCATTCTGGGGGAAGAGGAAAGACTTTAGCCGCTCAGTCTCTCATGAAACGTTGAATAAGGCATCAACTAACTCTCTCCCTCTTTGGTTAATATTGTTAATTGTTCGTGTTAATATAAAATGCCTGTGTGATAATGTCCACATTGGGATCACATTGGTAAATGCCTGGTTTGAAGTTTGGTAAAAAAAAAAAAAAAAAATTTTTTTTAACACCTGCTGCCTTCAAAGTTGAGCCAAAAATCACTAAAGCTCAACGTACCACATGGATTTGTTTCTATTTTAGCTTATTTACTCTGATAAATTTTGTTGCACAGAAACACAAATGATTCATTGCCTTGCAAATAATTCTCCTCTGTTAGTAACAGTCACCTCATTAGTCCTACACAGTGATTCAGCCTGCTCAGTAGGGTACAAGAAAACAAGGAGAAAGATGGTGGAAAATGTTTTTCTTTTTTTCGTTCTTTTAGCTTCAGCATTCAAAGCCTAATTGGGTTTGCACTAGCACATCCCAGGTAGGTGCATCAGGTAGCCAATTGCTTCAGCAGCTGCTAAGTGCCGCGGTCTGGTCAGCTGTGTTATATTTTACTTCAAAGCTGGTGCAAGTATGTGAGAAAAAAAACAAAAAAAAACAATCATCTTTTAAAAAGACTGCAGCTGTTTGGTGGACCTGATATCAGTGGGCAGTTTGTCTTATTTAGGCTTGGTTACGTGGTAATTTGAACTTGGGTTTTAATAACAAATTTAGAAAAAAATAGGCTATTTTAGAGTTATTATGTGAGATTAAATAGAGGATGAGAGACCAAAATGGAGAGGGGAAAAAAAATTACATTAGAGAGATGAGAAATTTGATCCTGCGTTATAATCACATTTGGCCTTAAATTGCACGGAAGGATCTGGTTAATCTGATTCACTGTTGGGTTATATTTTTTGGAGTCTGTAAGTCTTTTCTATGCACTTTCTAAATCTAAAGCGTACCATTACCCATTAAGTTTTACCATGTTGTAAATAATGGCAATTCTCAAAACACAGATACAGATGCAGACATAATGCCACATCGATCTGTATCCAGCTAACACACTTTTTTTTTAATGGCTTATGATTTCTGTTATTTCAAAAACACACATAATTGGTCACATTAAAACAGGCAATCCACTGTAATACATGACATTTTGTGTAACTTTGTAATTTGTGAATTTGACCAAAAAACACGTTTTCATGTTGTTTTTTTTCCTCCAATTGTCTACAGGCATTTTTATACCTTAATATTTCAGCTCTTCAATCAAAGTTGTCTTCAAAACTATGTTCAAATGCAGTTTGTAAATGTTGATTTTATTTATTGGGAGGAGGAAAAAACATCATCCAGCAGTTGTTAAATCAGATTTGGAGCTTTGAGAATTAAATATGCAAACCTCTGAATTAGACAGTGGTAACAGGAGAAATATTAGGCAAACGTTCACAGCGCTTCTTTTCGTATTTGTACCACCGAATAAAAAGGAGACAGCTCTCCAGTGGTTTGAAATGCCTCCAAATCTCAGTTTCTATCAGTGTATGAGAAAAGATGCTGTATTCACATTAGAGGCTCATATAAAGGAAAATCTGAAACCTATAATAAATAGCAAAATATGTTATAACTATGCACTCTTTTGCTTATTTACAAGACTGTCTAGGTATAAAATGTAAAAAAAAACAAGCTAACAAAAATACCTGAATTACCGGTAATTGTGAAACATATCCTGCAGGTGCTGTCATGGTTCAGAGTAGCCTTAATTTAATCAGATGGAACTGATTCTTCAAATTAAACGTCTTTCCTTTGTTTTTACTTGCCCTCTTACTGTTCTAAGACAGACATTGTTTCGGATGCATACATTTTGTTTTGGGGAGAAAATCAAAATAATGTGCACCATGGTGATAAATGTGCCAGTGCATGTGCCATAACAATCTGACAGGAAAAAAAATAAAAAATATACAAACTTATTTGTTTTCATTGTTTTAGCCAACAAAACATTAGTTAACATTAATATTGTCACATTTTTCTTTTCTCCTAGAAGATCTGATGTAATCAAGCACAGGAAAAGCAGAAACTATGTTCTCGTCGTTAATTTCGGCAAATGTTACAATCCTAAAATGTATTAGAAAAATCTTTTTGGCAGTGGCTAATAATCGATTTGTCCATGTTTTTTGTCCCATCAGGTGTAAGCAGCTGACGTACCCGGAGGACCTTCCTCAGATCTCCGTGGTGTTCATCTTCGTGAACGAGGCGCTGTCGGTGATCCTCCGCTCCGTCCACAGCGTGGTCAACCACACGCCGGCACACCTGCTGAAGGAGATCATTCTGGTAGACGACAACAGTGACAGCGGTAAGAACATCTTATGGCGTTGTTTACGAAATTAAATCCAAATTTAGGTACAACTTCCTTTAAAGAACAACAAAAGTAACAAAAAAGAAAAAAAATATAATCAGTGAATCAGTACGAGACGACCTTGGTAGATGTTTTTTTTTTTTTTTATGTTCAAACATTTCCTCAAGTTGCTTTTCAGATTGCACATCAAACTATCCAGAGGTTATCAGCGTCTTATAGATTCAATTATTCAATCGTTTCAATTACTTTTTGATAGTTAAAATGGGGTGTATGTTAAAGTAGGTGGATGTGATTTTTCATTTGTTCATATGTTCATATGTGTTTGAGTAACAGAAGAAAGAGTGAATAACTCCTGAGGGTGAACACATCAGTGTGAGGGTTTTAAAATAGCTTAAAAACAAGAACGAAGGAAAGTGAGGGAGCGGGGGGAGGGGTTTTATCTATCCTTCTTTAAGCTGCTGCATACTGCTGTCTCCATAGTGATGTGGGCAAATCCTTTAGTTACATCTATGCTGTGACGCCCACACCAGCTGACAGCGTTTTGGTTCCACATCCCAGGAGCTTTTCTGTTTGGAGGGTTGATGGGTCGTCAGCTGGGTTACCGACCACACTGGGCTGCTCCTCGACTTGGCACGAAGAAACAAACCTGCCTCGTTTAGGATCGGCAGAGGAAACTGGTGCTTTAATAGCATACTGAGTGAAGGCCGATGAGGATTCACCAGTGCCTGGTCTCTGCTCCCCACTGAGGAGCTCACTGCCTTCCTTCCAAAGAGGGAACGGTTAAAAGCCAGCGAAGAGATGGAGACAGAAACCGACACCACTCCCCTCTTTAGATCTGTCAACCCTCAAATTTAGGCTTAATGGGTTTTGATTTTTCTTTTCTAAAGTACACTTAAAAATGACCTAATTTGAATGTGATATCTAGAGTACTTCAAAAGTATGCATACAGTGTAAATGCAAATCAAGACTAAAACAAGATTTCATCATAAGCAAACACAAAAGCTGATTGACACATTGTGGAGGAAACACATTTCAGCCACTTGTACTATGTCATTGTTTCAGTCACCTCCCAGAGCTTGTGACCACAGATGAGGGCGAGAATGTAGATCGAGTGGTAAATCAGGAGCTTTGCCTTTCAGCTCAGCTCTCTTCACCACTTCAAACTAGTACAGCTCTGAATAAATCCTGAGGAGGGAGTGATGGATCCCTCCATCAATCGCCTGCTACATTTTTCCCTCATTTGAGAACAAGACCCTGAGATACTAAAACTCTTCCACTTGGGGCAGGATCTCATTCCTGAGCCGGAGAAAGCACTCCATCCTTTTCCAGTTCAAGACCATGGTCTGGGATTTTGAATTGGTTATTTTTATCCTGGTCGCTGCACACTCGGCTTTTCCAGTGAAAGCTGGAGGTCACGGTCTGATGAAGCCAACAGGTCCACATTGTTTGCAAAAAGCAGACACCTTATCCTGAGGGCTCCAAAATGGCTCCACTCAACACCTTCACTGTGCCCGGATATTTTGTCCGTACAGGTATTGAACAGAATCGGTGACAAGGAGTCCAACTCTCACGGAAAACGAATTCTGAGTTGTAGACCAACATCTCTGACACCAGTCATACTGGGACCTATCGACCTGTATCAAGGGATAAGGTACCCGTACTCCTGCGGTTCCCTGTTCTCTTTATGTACCCCTCAGTTCTGCAAAACGCATGTGTTTGGACAAACTCCTACATACCCTCAAAGACTGCTGCAGTGGTTACACGGCCAGCCATATTGTATTAATGCTACAATGACAATAGCCTGATTGAAGCTTCCTTGTGCATAAGTTCCCTTGTTAGCTTCAAATGCATGTTGTCATTTGAAGATGAGCGATTGCACCATTTTGTCACAGGAGAGACTTTTACATTTGTAAGATGTAAGTCTTTAAATCCCCAGTAGAACAGGACCAGGTGTTTTCAGGTAAGGAAATGGAGTGAAGTGAAATCTTGAAGTAGTTTTAGAGGAAGTAACAGCTGTGTTTGTTTATTGTTATGACTGCTCAGGGATAACTTAAATTAGCCATAATTAATTTAATGTCAGCAAAGGACTTCTTGACTTTGTGAAGTGAGTAGAAAGTGGAACCTAATGCCTCAGTGTTATTCCACAATAAAATGTGAGAATCAAGTTATTATAACATGGTTATAACAAATACTTAAAAAAAATAAAACTATGGAATCCCATCTTAAAATAAAATCCATCCTTTAATTTAAGGGGAAAAAAACTGGGGGCTGAAAAATCCCTTTGTAAAACTTAATTCTTTGAGTAAAACAACTTGTGCTTCAAGTACTGGTACAGCTAACAAACAGTTCATGGAAAAGAAATGCAGTTGAAGCATTTTTAGAGTTTCATCTAAATTTATAAGACTTTTGCATTAGCATACCGTGATATTCTGTTCTTCTGGGGTATAAATACTTAATAACTCACAGTCACATTTCTTCTAGTTATTTTTTTTACATTAAGAAATGAAAAAATCTTTTTAAAACAACATATTTGTTTGATATTAATATTTTATTGATGGTATAACACATGTGCGACAAAGTGTGGGGTGAAAAATAGCCATCTATTTTTATCAACAAATGACATGGCTGTCTAATTATCTTGTTTTTTCATATATTTTTTTTTAAATAATGAATATATCAATTCTATTCCCACTAATTAAATGTTAAAGAGATTGCCTAATTGTCACAGTGACGCTCCAGGCACGGAAACTCATTAGTAATGTCAAAGCAAAACAGTCTTTACCCACAGAAAAGTAGCCAAATTAAAATTGATACCAGGCCAAATTTGCTTGCTTGGTTCCGTGCGATGTCGCTAAACGACCTCAAGGTGTTTCCACCGTCCGTTTGCCTCTTGTATCTTTAATAAAAGGTCACTTTCAGGTCTTTACCGCATTTGTCAGCTCCTCTTGCCGGAATAACCATCTCCAAAGTCTGACGGCGACTCGTGCTGAGTAGATTTTCGGTGACTGCTCCACCGCAACATTGCAAAATTAACATTAGCATGACCTTTTCAGGAGGGCCTGTAACATGTTCAGTTTCTGGGACAGGCAGTGACATTTGGCTGGTGATGGAGAGGCTCATTCACAGCAACAGCTCCAGCAATCTTACTTAGCATTTCTCCCATTGATTACCTTTTTGCCTCGTGTCAACCGGAGTGACTCCAGGTTATTGTTGTTCGCGACGCTAAAAGCACAGGAAGGCCTAATAAAGCCTACAGGATCCTGATCCAGCACCAATTTATGAGTTAATGATTCATATAATGAAAACAGGAGATAAACTTAGCGGCAGCTGAGTACAGCTCATAAAATTAAATCTAAGTGATGATAAATGACCTAATCATTGTGTACATTAAGTCCTGCTAAAGCTTGTGAACATAGGATTGGCTTGTTAACGCTCGGCTGAAAAACGTATCCGACACGGCAACAGAAAACGTGATTAAGACAATGCAGAGTTTTATTTACAGACATTTACATCTGGGGCCCTGTACTTACCTCGTAGTGTGACACAGTACAAGGAGCAATCTTTACATTTGACTGAAGAGAGAATTTGCCTCTTGGCATTAGAAAATATCTTTTGTTTGGATTTTTTTTTAATATATGATAAATAATTTTTATTAAGTTATTCTTTGAGCTCCCTCTGATGGTGCATATAATGAGCTCAGTCATTGCCAGGCTACCAACACAACATCCAAATGTCTTGACGTCAACTTTTAAACATGTAAACGAATCTCTTTCTTAGCCATTTTTCAACCTTCCCTTATATGAATTTTATATACCCGAGTGGTTTATCTTGGCTGTTATTTTGTGCACAGTGGTTTAAAAAAAAAAAAAAAGAAAGAAAGAAATAGCGCAATGTCTTGAAGCTTTTCCACCTCACTCTATTCCTTTGCTCCTTTATGTCATGCCTCCAAGCCAGGATCTGTTCTCAGGGTGTGGCTAAGCTCGCTCCCGAAGGTACCAGTACATCTCGGCATAAACCTCCACTTTTAAAGTTGGTTTTAAAGTACAGGAAAGGAACATTCACTTTACCAAAGAAGGAACAAGTACAAAACTCAGGAAGACTGGCGACAGCACACCTACAGAAGATAAGTAGATCCACCACTGGAAGCGGTATTTTAGAAAAAAACATGTAGAAAAGATCCATGTTTTTCAAAAAGTCGTGTAATAATCTGGGTGGTTTGACTTGCAGAGGTCAAACTCTAGCCAGTTTTGGAAATGACAGCGGAGGGAGGGAACAAAGCCGTTCAGTCCGTGTTGGTCGCTCTTCCAGATGTTGAATCTACATGAACAGCCATTTTGTACGACTTGGCACGTCTCTTTTCGCAGTGGAGGATGCTTGTTTGTAGTGCAGGCAGCTTTCTGTGAGCTTCATAGCACTGAGCGTCATATGTCACGGACAAACGTTAGCAGTCGGGTAAAATTTAAAACTTGAACAGTCTACACCTTCAGGAAGCAATAATTCATCAATAGCTCAGAGTCCAGCTCTCTGGTAAAAAGCCTTGCTGCACACTTTGCTTTGTACAGACTAACAGTGATCCACATAGGTGAATTTGAAAAGTTTCACAACTTTTTATTTTTTTCCTGCTGTAAGGAATCATTTTACTACAGCACCAGGTGTACTGGAAATGATCGCTGTGAATCTTGAAGAGTAATTTTTGTAAAAACCTCTTTTTAGTAAGTGACAAACCATTATAACTAAATATATGACTTCTAGGCCTTAACACAAATTGGATGCATTTTCAGTAGTGCACTGCAGTCATTCAGTAATGTTTCTATAACAATTTTCTCAAACAATTTTTCCCTTCAGTACCATAATATTCCTTAAAGAGTCTGCTATACATTTATTTGCATTCATACTGCAGTATGTTGAATATTTATTAATCTTTCATGTTCCACTTGAAAACTTGAAAAGTAATCACTATTCCATAAGTGCCTTGAAATGTGTTCAGTATGTTTTCT